TTTTTTTTTTAGTTTTTTCTGTAAATACGTATTGAGCCCCCTCTCTGTGTCAGGAAATATCCAGAGAGTAAGAGGGCAAAAAACAATGGCTGATGATTTTTCAAAATTGCAGAAAGACGAGACCTTGGGTTGAAAGAGCACAGCTAATCTCAAGGAGGGTAAACAAATCTACAGCTGGAATGATTGTTGTATAAGATTGTAAATCCAACATAAAGAGAAAATCTTAAAGGCTGAGAGAAGAGACGGATTGCCCCTAGAAGAATGACGGCCTGATGGACAGTGCATTTCGTAGCAGCAGCAGTAGATCCTAAACCTGTCATCAAAATGGGATGCAACAATAAGGACCTTCTGGATCACACAAAGACTAGCAGAATTTTTTACTCTCAGACTTTAACTGAAAGAATTACTGAAAGTTGGATTTTAGAAAGAAGGAAATCAAACCCAGATGTAGGTTCCACCCTTACAGAGCAGTGGCCCGACAAAGAAATCAGACGTGGTCATAAACTTAAGTAAGCTACGTAAATGGCTGCCTCTGCATTAGGATTTGAGTACAAACAAAATGTTTTTCCAGTTGCGTATATAACTGCTTAGACTTGGTGCTGATGTTTGAAATTCTTCTGTTTGTGACAAATTGCTTTCATTTCAGACAGCGGTACTTAATGAGAGATCAGGGGATAGGATCCAAGCCATCTATGAACTTCCTAAAATATAGTGACGTATTTTGCGTATGTGTAGTTTTCCTGCAGGCAGGATTCATGGCTTTTATCAGACATTTAAAGGGGTTTAGAACCTGGACAAGTTTAAGAACTCCTGGATTATGGTCTTGTCCCCTATTAAAATGAAATTACATCAGTACTGAACTTGCTTTGAAGATGAGATAGGATGATCTGAATTTGAATATTGGATCTGTAAGTACTGGTTACGTTGTGGCACTGTTGAGACCCTGGACAGATTATTTGTACACTGTACAGTGTGCAGCCTGTGTGGCCAAACACAGCAGCAGTGATGCTGACTCCTGTGACTTTATCTCACCATCACAATCGGTGTTTGCTTCTAGCTGTTATAATTTCCTGAAGAGAGTCATTAGTGAGCTATCAGATAAAACAGAGCTTCTAAGTGACCAATTTTAGGGTATAATGATAGGCTAGTGCTGTTGTTTTGGTAATTGAGCGCATGTTTTGTGTAATACGTTGTCCCAGTGTGCAGAGGGGAGGGCGGGGGAGGCGGTGTTCTGTTCAGCCATTCTCTCTCCCAGTGAGGTTTGATACTAAAACAGCTATTAATTGGTGGCCAGTATAGCTTGTGTTTTTATGGTGCAGTTGTAGTGTATGTCAGATCTGTGCGCGTTACGTGTAATTTTACTTCCACTTCTCCACTCATTCGGTGGTTGTTTACTGAGTGCTAGTGTCAGGCCGTTTACTGTGCTCAGTGTGGTCAGGGATATGCGGTGGAGTATGGTGGTTCTGTCCCTGAGGAATTACCTTGGATTCGGTTAGAGGGTGACAGATCATCACCAAATCCTCAGTCCCAGCCTGAGACCTAGTTAGGTCAAGAAGAAGCTGTTCTTAAGAGCAGGGTTTTCCCAGCCTGCCCCTTGGGGTGTCAGCCTGAAGGTATAACTGAGATCAGAGAAGCGTGCTGAGGAGCCGCGGGCATCCTCAGATGCCACAAATGTCAGAACATCTGTTTAGCTTGCATACTTGTGATCATAATAACACAATCTGTTTCTAAAGCTGTTACACCAGAAGTAGATCCCAGACACTGATCAGATGCGTCTTCTTCCCCCAAAGCCCAGGGCCTCCTTGTGGCTTTGCAGCACCCCCTGGGGCAGGGATAAAGTGCCCTAATCTTAGGACTGGGGTGCCCATCCTGCTGGGGGGAAGACAGTTTCCAGTTCCATTTCCATTTCCTGTCTGCAGGTCTGTTTCCTCTCTCAGGACATGGAAATCTCTTAGAGGGTGAAACGAAGTGGTTTATCACAAGGTTACCTACAGCAAGGTGCCAGTTAATATACCTCTTAAAGTGAGCTTATATTTCCTTTTTCAGTGATGGAATCCTCCCCCTTTTTGTGTGTAATGCTGAGAGAGTCTCAGTTTTGATTGAATAAGATCATAATCTCTTCTTGTTTTTACTTTAAAAGAAGAACATTTTTATAGAGCTTAAACAAAATGACAAGGACAGCTAGAGTTTTGAGACGGAACTTCTGTAGAAAATGCTGAATTTTAAAGGATATTGCAAAATGGTCTCTGGTCTGCCAGCCTCCCTTCCCTAGTTATCTGCAGTTAGATTACCCAACTCGGGCTTCTGCAAACCCATTTAGAGAGATAAGAAATTCATTTAACTGTATTATACTCTAACTTGTAAATGAGATTCAAGGTTGATTGTTTAAAAGGTTGGGGTTTTAAACTGAAATTCTCTCCCATGTCATTTTATATCTATGTGATTCACCATAAAGATTGGTTTAGAACATTTCAAGAATACTGATGTTCTTTTATTCTTTTCAATTAACTTGAGGTTATGATTTTTAAAAAAATTGATTCTGGCCTCTTCTTTGTTTCCCTCAAACTACCACTTTCTTTGCCATTCCTAGAACTAGTTGGAGCATTTATTTAGCCTAAAAATAGAATAAGTACAATTTTGGTTTTGTTTGGAAAAGCTAAAGGAAAGCACAGTTCATGCTATTCTTCCCTGAAAATGGGAAACCGAGTGTCTGATCCCACGTTTTTATCATCAGGTTAAACATACTGCGAGGTAGGTGTATTTGATGAAAATAGTAGCTCTCCTGAAGGGAATGCTCGTGTATGTATGTGCGCATGTGCACTGTGACTTTCGGGGTGTGTGGACGTGTGCAGGGCCTTGCTTGGGGGGTAGGAGGGTTGACTACTGGGATAAGCATCCTGTCTGCAGAAGGCTTCCTTCTGTGTCTTCTCTGAAGTCTCTATCCCTTACCTGTTCTTTCCTGAGAGCCAGCACGTCTCCCTGGCCTTTAGACAGTCACATTCACAGTGGCCGCCTTGCCGGCGGCATCAGGGGCCTCTTTGCCCTGTTCTTTGCTGCCCTGGTCGCCAAGTGTGTTGGATTTGACTCTAGGTCTCGCGTGGGTGAACATCAGCACCACAGCGCCGAGGCGGAAGACGCAGCGGGTTTAACTTGCCTCCTGGTGCTCCTGGTGAACCCATCCTGGGAACACATTCAACACCTGTTTGAGAGTCTGTCCTGTGCCAGGCACAGTCTAGGTGTGTGAAATACGTGTGTGAGACCCACAGGACTCACCACGCACTTGGAGTTCGCGTCCGGCTCTTTGGTCACTTTCCGTTGCCCCCTCTTCTGGAGTCAGGGGTCATTTCCCCTCATGTGTTCATACCTATGATATGTATTCATATGCTTCACCTTTTTTGATTTCTTTTTCTTTTTTTTCTTTTGCTTCTAATTTAGCGTAACAGGTGAATAAGACACCGCTGCTGCCCTCAGGGAGTTTGGAGGAGAGGGACAGACAGGCGCACGTGAGCACTCTGCTGCCCAGCAGGCCTGATGCGTGCTCTCGTGAAGGCCGAAGTAGCGGCTCTCAGGGGGGCCGGCAGAAGGAGAGAGCAACTCTTCAACTAGGACAGGGTTCTTTATGACAGGAGTGCTGTCCAGCTGAGCCTTGTGTTCACCTGTGAACACCTGGGGGATCTGGCAGTGGGCTGGGGGGATGGATTTGGCTGGAGGTGAGGCTGGAAGGAAGGGATGGGCAAGGCCAGGGGTCGGAAGGCCTTGACTGCAGGCCAGGGCATCTGGAGACAGAGGAGACGGTGAGTCCCACAGGGTGGCAGTGACACCCATCACTTGGCTTCTGTTTTAGGAGAATAACTGATAGCTGGGTCCCGGCTGCATTGAGAGCAAAAGCTGAGGGGGGCAGGGAGCCCCGCTGGGTGATTTTCTTTCATTTATTCTTTTATTCATTCAACATATACTTAGCTGAAGCTTGCCTTGTGTTTATATTTAGAGGGGATTGCCAATTTCAGATGCTGTTTTAAGAAGAGTGGAACCAATTTAATGCTCAATCTCATCATTCAAGCTTGAAGTTTACATTTTGGGTTTTGTTTTTTTTGTTTTTTTTGCTGAGCGACTGCAAGATACGTTTTGAGGGGCGGGGAGTGGACATCTCAGTCTCTTCTGCCGAGTTGCTCTTGCTCTCTGCTCACTGGTCAGCAGGGTTGAAAAATGTAGCAGTCTGCTCTGCCGTAAGCATAGGTAGCTCCTGTCCCTCACAGTGGCTGGGTGAGTCAAGATTTAATTAAGAGAAAACCAATTTCATTTATGTTCTGTGATAAGAGCTACAGAGAAAAAATTTAGATATATGATGGGTTGTCTTATCAAAAGGCTTCCGCTGCTCCGAAGGAGCCAGCCTACTTCTCTTGGTCAAAGAAGGATGTTGCATATCATGGTTGTTACTTGCTGTACTTTTTTTTTTTAAAGGTAGGAAATGTTGTTCTTGGGACTAAGTTAAATGCTGCTCAGCATAAAAGATGTGATGTGGAACAAAGCCTGCAGACTGTGACTAATTGACATGCGCTGGGCTAATGAGAAGACAGTGTGTAATCAGCAGCGGAACACACACTCACAAAGGCTCTCCTTCTCCCCCAGGACTTCCTTCGCCGGGCATCTGGCCGGGATTCTTGTTGGACTCATGTACACTTGTGGGCCTCTGAAGAAGATCATGAAAACCTGTGCAGGTACAGAACAGAACACCTTTGCAGGACAAGTGGGAAGCTCATCTTCATTTTAATGGAAACAGAAGCAACCCCACATTTCCCTGTGGTGCAGCTTAGGAATTCCCTAATAGGCCCTTTTTAAACCAAGAGATCAGCCAGCTGGTGCTGTTCCTCGCACTGTTCTGCAGAAGAGGCTGCAAACCCAGATTTTAAACCTGAGGCTTTCTTTGGGGACAAATAGCAGTATATATTTATACCCACAGCATTATTGCTACTCACAGAAAACCACAATTTCCTTGACATTCAGAAAACTAAAGCGGGTTTAAAATATGCTTTCTTCTATAATATTCCAGTAATTCCTGTGCATGCAAGGCAAGGTTAAAAAAAGAAAGACAAATATGTCCTGAAGTGCAAGGCCAGTATTTTAAAGAATTCAGAATGACCACTGGGTCCCTGGTGGGCGAGATATATTCATTCATGGCCAAACCAAGTCTGTTATTGCTTGAAGCTTGGCTTCTGCTTTTTAATTAAATTTTTTTCCTTCTAATGAATGCTCAATGAAAATATTTTATTTAGAAACATAAGAATTTTTTGACCTCTTCATTTAAAATGCTATACTAGTCTTATAAGAAAACTATTTTGCAAACACTTGTTCTGTAGACCATATGAGTTCCAATCTTTCATCTTTTATTCATGGGAAATCTTCTGAGACTATTTTACCTTTTCATGAACCATATATAATTTGTTTTCACAGTTTGTGCCGATGACTGGTATTCCTGAGAACCATATAATATTCATGATATTAGAGAGATTTCCGAGCGTTGTGCCTTTATTAGCTGGTTGTATTCACTTTCGGGTGATTTTTACAGGCTGTGTTGCGTTGAAGCAGATTTTTATTTTCCTACATTTGCCTGTTACTGTTTCTAGTGTGTATGCTTGGAGGAGGCAGCAGGAGCTTCATCTATTGAAAATGTCCTTTTTTATTATATTTTTGATACAACTTAATTATGGAAATCTAGTAATGAGCTTTGTTGTCCAAATGCTCTCCTTACTGATAAAGGAAAAGAAATGAGTCTTGAGAGTCTAATGTTTTGTTTCCTTTTTTTCCTGTGTGTCTGAAGATTAAGTGGTTAGTAAAGCTTTCTATGACATATTATGAAATTTAGGCAATCATTTTGTTTTTAAAGAGGATTTTTCCCACAATTATAACATTTAAGCTCTTAGTTTACCTTCTTAAAACGTTGCCTATTTTCTATGGAGACTTACTCTTACATCATTCTATTTTCAAAGTAATGCAGTAGAAAATTAAATACCAAAAGTTGAAACACTCAGTGCTGTTTATACACAGCCTGCAATTTCTCTGCCTTTTTTCCCTGTGAAACTGGAGAAAGGTCAAGAGTGATCTGAGAATTGAGGTGACACAGGAATCCTGTGGAAAATAATCACGCACGTGAAGGCTGCTGTCCCAGAACTCCTGGGAGAGAGCATCACACCGAAGGTGCGGCCTGTCGCTCCTCCCTCTCTCCCTTTCAGCAGTGCTAAATTGCCTGTCCCATCACCCCTGCAGGGATGAGAGAGGGGAAGTCCCTTAGGAAGGGTGAGAGCGTGGCCCTCCTAACTCCCTTGCTGGGGACAAGTTCTCTCTGTAGCCAGAATATCTCTACTCGTGCAGCGGTGTACAAGTAGAGATGATCTTTGAGGTCATCTCTCAAAGACCAAGCTTGGTCTTTTGGAAGGCAAAGGCCATCTCATGTCAACAGGAACCTTAAGGACCTTCAGAGAGTAAAAGTTAGAGTTTCATCATCCCCCCAAAATACATTCTGTTCACTATAGGGCTAACCCCAAACAAAAGAAAGCGCTTATTATAACACTTGTTTGGAAATCATTTAAAATGAGGTGTCACCTCACACCAGTCAAAATGGCCATCATTAAGAAGTCTACAAATAATAAATGCTGGAGAGGGTGTGAAAAAAAAGGAACCCTCCTACACTGTTGGTAGGAATGTAAATTGGTGCAGCCACTATGGAGGACTTATTGTTTGATCCAGCCATCCCACTCCTGGGCATATAAATGGAGAAAACTCTAATTCAAAAAAATACATGCACCCCAGTGTTCATAGCAGTGTGGTTTACAATAGCCAAGACGTGGAAGCAACCTAAATGTTCACGGACAGATAAATGAATAAAGAAGATGTCAGGTGTGTGTGTGTGTGTGTGTGTGTGTGTGTGTGTGTGTGTGTGTAGTAA